TTTTTTTTTTTTTTAAAGCAAAGTGCACACCCAGAACAGCTTGTCCCCGCGGGCGTCCCTGAGCAGGAGGACAGGCCGCCGAGTGTTTCCAGTAACCCGCTCCCTGGGCTGGTTCCCACACGAGAAAGGAACCCAGCACAACAAAAGGCGCCCGTGAAAGGTTCTTTGAGACTAAAATTTGGTGGAGATTAAAAGAGGGCAAAAGTTCAAATGAGAAGGAGCTGCGGCCAAGCAAGCAGGAGTCTTAGCCAAGGGGAAGGAAAAGGGGGACCCTGCTTTCAAATGCAAGTAACCATGGCGAGCCGGCCGCTCGGCGCTAGAATCTGGTTAAGGAGGAATGTCACACAGAGCCGTGATTGTTCGTTCAAAGTGGGCCCTGGGAGAACAGTTGTCGCCAATGGGCACTCACGCAGCTTGGATTCAAAATTATAAGTGCATTTTTAAAAGCGTTCAGCGCTTCTCCCTGACCCATTTGGTATAAAGCAAAGAGAAAAGAAAGCCCAAAGTTTATTCTCAGTGTCTCTTGTGGGTTTAAGACAGCTTTACATATGGAAAAACATTTTGGTGTCAGCTGTTGAACTGGTTTCCTGCTATTCTGCTCTCAGTTGCCATTGGAAACCTTGGCTGCCTGTGTGGTAACAGCGCTCATTTCCCAAGGCTCAGAAGCCAATGCCCCGCGGAAGGGACGCAGGGCATTTCTTTCTTTACAAATACGTGTTGTGCTTTGCCTCTGTTTCTTGGTGAGAAGGGCTTGCAAACAGCCGAAGCACTAGAATAAAGATGAGGGATTGAATTGTGTGATAAAACTGATAGAAAATAACAAGAGGTTCTCTAAGACCGGAAATGCACCTCCACCTTCCCTCTAGTCCTTCCCCTCTAGACGGTCGCCTTGCTGCGGCCACCATCGCACAGCGTGCGCCCAGCAGCTCTTTCCTCCGTGTGCTTTCTGAAGAGAGAGGGCCCCTGCGCCTCTGAAATGTATGCAGAGGCAGCCGGTTCATTCTGTGTGTGCATCTTTCTGAGGGAATTGCATCCATGACCCTCCTCACTTATCAGAATGGTCCATGACTCCAAACGCATTAAGTACCAATGAATTAAAGTGTCACCAAATAAAATATATTGGCAACACTCCCACATGTGGAAAGAATGTAACCTAATGGTTTTGAGTATGATGATGTAGTAATATTGACAGTGCACTGGGAAATCTTTCTCTCTGGTTAATGGATACAAGATAGCCCAGGACTGGAGAATTTCCAGAAGAGACTGACTGTACTGGAAACTGAGAGGACTGGGGTTCTGGTCCCATCGTGGCAGATCGCATCTCCAGCCCTAGAGGGACGTGTCGTGTTTGCGTTCTTCTTTTTTTCGAGTCTTGTCATCAGGGAGTCTGAGAGATGCAACAGATGCTGTCTTGTTGGGAAAGGAAGAGGCCTGCTTCAGAGCTCCACCTGACCGTTTCACGGAAGAGCAGAGACAGGAGGGGCAGTCTAACCATGTGTTCCCATCGCGGAGGTGGGCTTGTACCACGTTCCAGCACTGGAAGCATAACCTGGAGTCAGGCTGCCGGGCTTGGAGCCCGGTCCGTGAGTAGTAGGTAGGACAGCCAGGTGCTCCTGACACAGCATCGCTGTGCCCACCTCTCTAATCCTCAAAGTGGGGTTATGACATGTTACAGTGGATTCCCACTGTCCTCATCCACTCTGGCCATCACAACAAAATGCCACAGACATAGTGGCTTAAACAACCTAAATTTACTTAATTTTCTCAGCTCAGGCCAGAAGTCCAAGATCAAGGATGTAGCTGGTGCAGCGTCTGGTGAGAGCTCTCCCCCTGGCCTGGGGATGCTGCCTTCTCCCTGCATCCTCGCACGGCTTCTCCTCGGTGGGTGTGAGTTGGGGTGGGGAGCTCTCTGGTGTCTCTTCTTACACGGGCACCAATCCTATCAGATCAGAGCCCCACTCTCATGACCTCATTTAACCCCCATTTAATCTTAGAGGCCCCATCTCCAAATGTAGCCACACTGGTGGGGGCGGGGGGTGGGAGGGGCCAGGGCTTCACCACAGGAATTTGGGGGAAACAGGAATTCAGTCTGTACATTATTCAGAGATTCCATATGACAAGCATCAGAATGGGTCTGGCACATAATATGCTCTATTTTTATATTTAATAAATGACTGAATCATCATCTTGGAATGTCCCCCACCAGATACATATTAGTGGATAAATAAGATGACATGCAATTGATTATTGAATGAATTAAGGTCTGTGAAAAGTAAATGGCTTTGGAAAGTGCCAGCAGGAGAGAAAATTGGAGGAAATGACTTAAGAAGAACTAATTTGATAGTTGAAATATTTTCAATCACTGCTTCCCTGTATAATAGATTTTCATGTCCCTATCCATTAATATAAAGTCCACATCTCTGGTAATGGTATGTTGATAAAAAAAGGATAGGGTTTGTGTCGGTAATATGTATGCCTCCAAATCTCAGTGGCTTAGAAAAACAAAGGTGTTCTTTCTCTAGCAAAGTCTGATGACAGAGGTAATTGACCACTGAGGTTTCAGGCTATGCTTATCTTGTGATGCTAACATCTCATGTCACCATGGTGGGAAGGAGAGTAGAGAAGGGAAACTGAGCCTTAATTGCTGTGGCCCCCATGTGACATCTGCACTTAGTCCATCTCTCAAAACTAGTCATATGTCCCAAATGCAGCTGACAGGGGGAGGCCAGGAAATGCAGTCTGGCACGTGGATATCCACTGTGCAGCTGTGTCCACCATACAGGGTGTGCATGACCCTCAATAACCTGATTGCAACTATTCCCAGCTCGACTTTCAAATGGAAGGAAGACTTGAGGCCTCATGACAGTGTGGAATAATTGCTGGATATACACAACAGACTTTCATCCCAAGGAAGTCTGGCAGGGACACTGAAGGGACTCCTATTTGGCTCTGTGGGAAGACAAAGAAATAGAGGAGAGGAATCTTGCTCTTCAGGAGGCTGAGATGTAATTAAGGAACCGTGGCAAGGGAGGGAAGATCGGGCAGTGTGGTACTGATCGCAACTGAGCTAGAGCTAGACACTGATTTCATGAAAGAGCTTGAGGTTTGGCATCAGACAGACCTGGGACCTGAAGTTTACTACTTGTCTTATCTTAAGGAAGTCACTTAATTTCTAATAGTATATATACACATACATACTGTTAGTGTTTATACACACACATACACTAAACAAGTAGTCACTAATCTTTTTTTTTCTGTTTGTATAACAAAACATCTTTGACATAAAATAGATTTTTTTCAGACATGATAAAATAGGATGTTATCCCAGCTTTTCTCTTCTAAACCCTTGTTGAAGAGCAGACCCAAAGCAAAGAAAAACCTACTCCTCATCTAGTCTGAAAGAATTTCTTCTAGATCTGGTTAGGTTCTAAGCCTAAGCACAGAAGATGTTTCTTGCTACGGTTCAGGTTAAACATGACCCCCAAGCCCACGCCTCCCGAGATTACACCTGCAGTTGGCTGGAGCACCTCAGACCCCAGTTGATGCCTCACCCCGGCTGTCCACTGGTACCCCCCAGTGCCCGCAGGACCCAGTGGAAGCTGTGCAACTGGGATGAAAGGTGCTGGTAGGGCACCTAACGTATGAAAGTTGCCAATGCACTTTCCCACTTTCCAGCCTCCTCATCCTGGATTAAGGGGGACTTGCTTTTCCTAAACCCACTGCTGAAGCTCTCCAAATCAGTTTCCTGAAGTAGGGAAGGCAGGACTGTTATCTGCCTAACCCTCTGACTCTAATTTCCATAGTCACTTTAGAACAGCACATGGTGCCTCTTTCCCTGAGCTCTGCTCACTGCAGATCAGAGGCCCCAGGAACTTGCAGAGGGTGTTGACGACGTTCACCGTCTATCCTGGGCCATAATCAGGTCCCTGAATGCAGCTCCCACTCCTGGGCATCACTCTATTGATCACCACAAGCCAGTGGATCCCTTTTGATTCTGAAAACATTCTCTACTATTATGAGTAAGAGTATCACCTTACCATCTTTTTCAGCAGAGAGGCAAACAAAGAGGAAAAATCCCATCATTTTAACTGCGTAAGGCTATCCTGGGCTCTGCTCACCAGAGAATTCAATTCTGCGGAATAATTCTCCCCGGCACGAATGATAAATGCCGGGGTTACTACTCACCTGTTTGCCCTCTCGGCTTTTGTCCAGCCCGTATTGTCTCCTCAAGGTGGATCCTCTGATTGCTTTGGTGAGGCGGTAAGGCATCCCTGAACAGGGACGCGTTCCCAGGCCCTGGGACCCTCTCACCACAGTGAGGCAGTGAAACAAGGTATTTCGCCTTGGAGCATTTCAGCAAACAGGCTGGAATAAGAAATTTAAGGTCAAGGCCATGAGATCTGGGGCTGGGAAAGGGCCAACGGAGATCATTTTTGTCTTCTACTGCACACATGCAATCTATTCATCACCAGGCATCAAGATCTTGACTGAGCAGCCAGGAAAAGCAGAGAGAGAGGAGCTCTTGTCTCTGCTGTCAGGGCTGCTGTTTATATATTTTGCCTTGTTTTTCTGTACAAGCTAATATAAAGCCTTTTCAGGCATGGGCAAGACTGCCAGGGCCTTTGTTTCAAGAAGATGAATTTGAATGGGAGTTGAGCAAGCAGGAAGAAAGACTTGGAAGCACTACTGTTCCTGACCTGCATGCTGTAGAAGTCATAGGCAGGGGTTTCAGGGAAATGCACATGGTTGCCAAATTTTATAAACCTAATCAGAAGATACAACAAGTGTTTTACATCAAACCACTTCCACTTAAACCACATGCAAAGAACCCATCCATAATGCTCTCTAACCTTCTATTAACTTATGCACAATTATAGATTATGAAATAGGGACAGTTTAAACTAGAATGAAAACATTTTCATTGGTGAAAATTGGCCTTTATTTATTGTGTGACTTTCTAAGGAATGAAAAGCATGGAAATTGTAGCTGGACTTAAATGCTTTCTGCTTACACTCTTGGTTCCGATAGCAAATACGATGGTAAGAAAACCACTAGAGTGTCAGAGGACCTGGGTCCAATTCTATACTTTGAAACTAGCTACTGTGCCACCCGTACATCTCTGGGCTTCGTTTTCTACCCATATAATGACAAAATCGGACAAGATTGTTTCTAAGGTCCCTTCTTGCCCTGAAAGTCTCTTTTCCTTGAGGGTATTTGTTTCAAGCAGCATTTGCACTGTTTATTAACAATTTCTCTGTATTGATTTTTTGGCGACTCTACTAAATAGAACCATGCTTATCTTTGTCTTCATGAGTGTAATGGAGGCAAAAATGGAGAAGGTGACATGACCTTCACCCTTTAAAGGCACATTATCCTGAGCAACTTGTGGGCCGAGCTTCTAATCTTCTTTTGATTATGTCTCTTCTTTTGCCAGAGACGCGGCAATGGGAAATTCAGAAAGAAGATGACTGTTAGGTTTCCACACTCCCCCACTTTCATTTAAAAATGCATGGCTATCATGCACTTATTTTATAATTTACCGTTAGTCTCTGTGAACTGCTGCGACCGGGACTCAGAACACTTCTCAGAGGCGCATCGTCTCATCCCGCTTTACCCAGTGACCTGCCTTCTGCTGCTATCCGCTCTCAAGGCTGCTGAAGCGCGCTCATGACGGGCTATCACGATCCCGGATAAAAAACCCAGCAACGCCAGATTGCACAACCAGGTTCTCCTTACAGGGACCTTATTTTGCTTTTAGGATCCAAAGAACTGGCTTCACCCTGTACTTTTTCAAGGTCTGAGAGAAAAATACAATGGACTACTTACGTCCAGCCTCAGAATTCATCTCCTCTGAAGTCCTGAGTAGTGATAATACTTCTTCATTTACATTTCTAAGGACAGAGGGGAGGGGATGGTAACTGACATTTATTAAGTCCCTTCCATCATATACTCCAGAGCCCATGGGAGGCACGTTATAAACCCCTTCTCATCTAACCCCTCCCAGCAATCTGTGAAGTACGTACTGTTACGGTCATGCCACAGAAGAGACCCTAAGGCTTGGAGCTGTTTTGGAAATTACTGAAGACTGCGTAACAAGGAGATACAGAAGTGAGAATCGAACCCTAGGTCTACTTGTTTACAAACCCATGTGGTAGGTTTGTGATTCTTTCATCCTTCTAAAAACATTTGTTTAAGTGGTCACTCTGTATACATAATAACTTTCTTACATTGAGTTTTTCACTCATAGCTTGTTTTCATTGTCTGCCACGCGATCCTCAGCAAGTGTTCGTCCACCCTTTGGTGCTGATGTCCCCCTGACCGCCATTTCACAAGGAGCACAAGCCTCTGCAAACAGTTAAAGATCTGGCACGTGGTCTTTGCTAATTCATGAGGCTGGAAGTCCTGCCCTGCTGTGGAAGCATCCACGTGCCCCTCTCTCTCCATCCAGGAAGTGGACATCATTCTTAGGGACGAAGAGCCCAGGTGAGTATATTCGAGAGTTGTCACTGGAGAACAGCTGTTCTTGTGGCCCTGGTGAGCCAGTTGAAGAACTTAATTTTTAAATCATCTGTAAGGGTGGTGAGATTTCAAGATTTTTTCTATCATGGATACAGGTTACATATAATTAAAACTGAAAATAGTGATTATGAAAAACCTCACCGCATGACCTAGGAACTATGGAAATTTCTTGCAAATGACAGACAGCAGAGAGTCAGCATCAAAGACAGTCTACAGGATGCACACAGGCTGCAAACATGCAGGCTCACACGCAGGCCACTTTCCCAGAAGCACAGGCCGGTGCGAGCGGATGTCGTCAGCAATCCCAGGGCAGGGCACCTGGAGGAGAGAGAAACCCGGACTGCATCTAAGGAAACATCCTTGGCTCTGGCCATCAGATACTGAGAGTGCATGTTCCTTTTACTCTTATTCAATTAACACATACCTAACTTCCAAGACAGAAAGTCCTGAGAAACACCGCCCCTCCCAAAATTAATAATTTTTCATTCTTAACAAGAGCTCATATATATATTTCCAGGAGCGAGGACCTCTTGGCAGGCTTTTTTGTCATGTTATGTTCTAGTGCCAGAACTCTTTTTAGGATCCCATAGCTTCTTGTCATTGCTATGTCACGCCTCAGGTTAACAATGACCTTCGCTAATCTGAAGTTATTTTAAGGGTTCAGTATGTGGAGTCATTCGGGTGAATTTAATATATTTTATTTTGCTTCTTAGCAGACCTTTAGTTGTGCATCTGGTTTGTATAGAATAGAATTATTGGCATTCACATTTAATTGATTACCCAGAGGAAATGCTAACTTCTTCTGTTTCTCTTGAAGAAAATAAATGGACTGAAAGAAAAAATAAAAAGGAAAAATGCCAGGTCTGTCCAGGTGGGTCTAGTATGCGACCAAGTCTGAGCACCTCTGCAGGTTCAGACAGCTCTCGTCATGGTGTAGAGGGTCCAGAAATGTGTGGCCAGCGAGGTGGAGGGGGGAACGAGGCAAAGGAAAGGGGGGTTAGTTGGATTCGAGTCCACCAGCAACGACTGGAAATAATTATGATTTAATCTTCCTGCTCCACGGCAGTGACATGGATAGAGGACAGATCCTGACCTTGGCATTGAGCGAGCGACCAGGTGTCTGATGTCAGGGCCACCCTGATAGTTCAGATTCAACAGATTAGATCCACTTTGGGATCACAACAACTCTGAATCAGATAGATCCAGCACTCAGCTGGGATGCTGCACCCAAGAGCTGGCTATTCTGAACAATACAAATGCACGATTTCAACACTTTCAATATATTGAACTGTCTCTGCTACGGAGGGTTCCCAGTGAAGAAATTCATTTGTTCCATTTCTCATGTGTCATGATTTTAAAAGTTGTTACACCCCAACCTATACCCTATATCAAAGCTATGCATACTTAAACCCCCTTCAAATACAAGTGATCTGAGCACATCTGCTGAATGGACAGGGCAGGTCTAACAGAGAGGCATTTAGAGAGGGAGATGAGATAAGAGATCTTCTTTTGGGGAAGGAGGATCCTAGGTCAATGAACATATTTTATTAAGGTATCATTGATATACACTCTTCTGAAGGTTTTACATGAAGAACATAGTGGTTACTACATTCTCCCATATTATCAAGTCCCCATCCATACCCCACTGCAGGCAATGTCCATCAGTGTAGTAAGATGCTACGGGGTCACTACTTGTCTTCTCTGCGCTACACTGCCTTCCCCATGACTCCTCCCACACCATGTGTACTAATCGTAACACCCCTCAGTCCCCTTCTCCCTCCCTCCCCAACCGCCCTCCCACACCCCTCCCCTCTGATAACTGGTCTTCCCTTCTCAGAGTCTGTGAGTCTGCTGCTGTTTTGTTCCTTCAGTTTTGCTTCATTGCTATACTCCACAAATGAGGGAAATCATTTGGTACTTGTCTTTCTACTCCTGGCTTATTTCACTGAGCATAATACCCTCCAGCTCCATCCATGTTGCAAATGGTAGGATTTGTTTTCTTCTTATGGCTGAATAGTATTCCATTGTGTATATGTACCACATCTTCTTTATCCATTCATCTACTGATGGACACTTAGGTTACTTCCATATCTTGGCTATTGTAAATAGTGCTGCAGTAAACATAATGGTGCATATGTCTTTTTGAACCTGAGATAATGCTTTCTTTGGGTAAATTCCTAAGAGTGGAATTCCTAGGTCAAACAGTATTTCTATTTTTAGTTTTTTGAGGAATCTCCATATTGCATTCCACAATGGTTGAACTAGCTTACATTCCCACCAGCAGTGTAGAAGGGTTCCCCTTTCTCCACATCCTCGCCAGCATTTGTTGGTCTTAGTCTTTTCGATGCTGGCCATCCTTACTGGTGTGAGGTGATATCTCATTTTGGTTTTAATATTCATTTCCATGATAATTACTGATGTGGAACATCTTTTCATGTGCCTATTGGCTATCTGAATTTCTTCTTTGGAGAATTGTTCATATCCTCCACCGATTTTTTAATCAGGTTATTTGCTTTTTGGGTGTTGAGGCCTGTGTGTTCTTTATATATATTGGGTGTTAACCCCTTGTCAGATATGTCATTTACAAATATATTCTCCTATATTATAGGATACTTTTTTGTTCTACTGATGGTGTCCTTTTCAACTTGATGTAGTCCCATTTATTCATTTTGCTTTTGTTTCCCTTGCCTGGGGAGATGCATACAGGAGAAAGTTGCTCATGTTTATATTCAAAAGATTTTTGCCTATGTTTTCATCTAAGAGTTTTGTGGTTTCATGACTTACATTCAGGTCTTTGATTCATTTCAACTGTATGGAGTTAAAAAATAATTCAGTTTCATTCTCTTACATGTAAATGTCCAGTTTTGCCAATACCAGTTGTTGAAGAGGCTGTCATTTCCTCATGGTATATCCATGGCTCCTTTATGGTATATTAATTGACCATATATACTTGAGTTTATATCTGGGCTCTCTATTTCTGTTCCATCCATCGATGGGTCTGTTCTTGTGCCAGTACCAAATTGCCTTGGTAATCCCCCCAATTTTATTCTTCCTTCTCAGGATTGCTTTGGCTACTCAGGGTCTTTTGTGATTCCATATGAATTTTAGAACTATTTGCTCTAATTCATTGAAGAATCCCATTGGTATTTTGATAAGGATTGCATTGAACCTATATATTGCTTTAGGCAGGGTGGCCATTTTGACAATATTAATTTTTCCTATCCATGAGCACAGGATATGTTTCCATTTATTGGTATCTTCTTTAATTTCTCTTATGAGTGTCTTTCTTGGTTAGGTTTATTCCTAGGTACTTTATTCTTTCTGATGCAATTGTGATCTGATACAAGTATTGCAACTCCTGCTTTTTTCTCCCTATTCGTCACATGAAATATCTTCTTCTGGAAGCATATAGACGTCTTGCTTGTTAGCCATTCAGTGACTCTATGTATTTTGATTGGTGCTTTCAGACCATTTACATTTAGGGTGTTTATCAATAGGTATGTACTTATTGCCATTGCAGGCTTTAGATTCATGGTCCCCAAAGTTTCAACAGTAACTTCCTTACTATCTAACAGTCTAATTTAACTCACTTAGTATGCTCTTAGGCCCCAGAATCTCCGTGAGCATATTATAATAAAGACTTAGTTCTAAGAGAGAGGTGACTCTGACCACAGCATGCTCACTCTCCCCCAGGGGTGCCTTGCAATCTAGCCCCCCAGACGCATACCCAGGGCAGCGGAGAGCAGAGGCTGTACATTAGAGCTGAACAACTGATTTCTTTTCTAAGAAATTTACAGAACAATGGAACATATTCTTACTTCCAGAACGTAGAGTGTAATCAGAGGGGAAAACAGCATTCTCTCCTTCCTAGCCACAAAAACCTCTGCAGATTTGACAGATCAAACCAGCAGTGGGCGGTGGAGCCCCAGCATGCAGGATCTGGGAGGGGGGGGGCAGTGTTACCACCCGTGGGCTCTGCAGGAGGACCAGGATGGATGGACTAGTTAGCAGGTGG